TTTGGGTATGCAATTTTCACAGATATTAAAATATATTTTTATTAATACCGTTTACTGATATTTTTTCAGTTCAATAATCAACTTCATCAATCAGCTACGAGTTTAACYACATATTTCTTTTTCATTCATTTTATAAAACAATTAATTTAAAAATGTACTAATTAAACAACACTGTTTATAAATTATAATTAGTACATTTCTTTATATTTTTTTTATACTTCRCATGTTTGTGTATTTTAACTAATACATGTTAGTAGTAAAAATAATATTGTATTTTACTATTATCTTAATCAAAATAGTTTTCTAAAATAAATAATACGCATTTGCCTATATTCAATAGTTGTGTTTACCTTAATAAAGTCATCTTCAAGCCATTGTGTATCTTTAATATCATCATATACACTTTTTGAACCATCGCATGATTGTATTGATGCATTGAAAACATCAGGGAATTATGTTGATGATTGATTGCCCCAAATTGTAACATTTTTTTATTTCGCTTACACATAGTCCTAGATATATTGCAATAGCCGATTGGGCTCTGTTATAATGCATTGTGTATTTTAAATCAAAAATTGTATGATTATATATTTAAGTAATAATTACACAAATTATATACCTGTTTTCATCAAATCTTGTCATTGCAGTAAAGTTCTCTTTTGGTATGAAAGACGCTTTTAAAGAACATTCAAAGCATTAGTATTAGCTAGATTTCCAACCACCAAAACTTTTAACATCTTTATTTGCAAATTTAAGCTTCACCTAATAATTTTAATGTCTTCATGTTGGATGATAAAATGTCTTTTTTTTTAATTTCAATAATTGTCTAGTATGGCAACTTTCTTCCTAAAGAAACTTCCCTCCCACAAAAAAAMACCGGACCCTGRTATGCCCACATTTTGATCAGCATAATGGCTTCCGTTTTTTGCCTTGCGCCCGTGCTAGCTCAAATCCATAGTCTCTCATCGATATCGTCCAGTGTGTGACCCAATTGTGCTACTCCCATTTGATGTCCTAATAGTTAAGTGCACGTCTTTCAGGCAACAATATACCTTTATGCATCGAAAAGCTTCATCTACATGCTCCCATTGCGCAGAGTAAGAGGAATTCTTCACATCAAATGGTTAAAAGACATAACTCCTACTGTTACAAGGAACCATGGTTGGTCCACTTAGCGAAGTCAAGAACCTTATTGATAGTGTCCTTGATAGTAGACCAATCCTTTCAAAAACTGATTTGGTTAGGGCTGGACTGAATCTTACTGTCAAATCGATGGGCTCTTTTAGCCTTAGAAGGAGAATCCTGTCGAATAATTTACCATTGGTGCCTAGCATATGTGACAGACTTGTCCGGTTCCTTATTAAGCAATAATAGTCTATAGTCGAGTAGGAGAAACAAACTAGTAAACATCAGTTGAATATTTTAACGAATCTTTAAAGAGATCTGCTGGTAATCGCCAAAAGCATCTGGGAAATCCCATCCAATCCAGTATTTGCCCCTTAACAAGCGGAATATTACAAAAATGAGTTAATTCATGGAGATAGTATAATTTTACAGTGAAATTTTTTTTTTTTATGAGGATATGAAAATTAGAGAAGAATCTTCCATTGAAATGTCTAATGCTAGTTATGTAAAAAAATTTCTATTTGAAAAATGTTGNTTCTTATTGGTGGCACGGTAATGGCCAAAGGTTTCATGTCAAGATTAAAAGAAGAACTTGTAGAAAAACTTAAATGTTCAAAGTATAACAATTTAAAAATCACAAAATTTAAATTTCATRTAGCACCTGCTTATGAAAATTACATTGCGTGGCTTGGAGGTAAATAACTAAACATGTTTTTTTGAATTGGTCATTATTTTATTTATATTGTGTTTTTTTATTTTTTTTATAGGATCAATATTTGGAAGCACAAATAATTTGAACATACTTTCACAAACAAGGGAAAATTATATTAATGAAAATTATGTTCCAGACTGGCCCACAACGTTTACCAGACAAAAGATTGAATAAATCGTAATAACTACAAATATTTTTCATAAATTAACATTTGTTATACTAAATGATTAAATGATCAAACATTACTCATAAACAAAAACATACTTTAATTTAATTTAATATTTTCTATATTAAACTATACCTATATGTATTCTATTATAGAATATTTTCATTTATTATTAAATAAATGAAATGCTATTATTTTAACAACCCTGATTCTATACCAGCGTTTCTTAAACTTTTTTATCCGTGGAACCCTTTTTGATGTCCACTTTTATCGTGGAGCCCCTACTTTTTTTTACCTTTTTACCTTTTTTAAGGATTATTTTCAAATGAGTTATAATATTAAGTAGAAGTATAGATTATTAAATAAAGAGTTAGCTGATAGATTATTCCATATGACTTATACATTATTATTTAATATATAAGTAATTTTCTTGAACATTTTTAAAAAATAATTCAAGCTCCGTGGAACCCTGAAGTAATCTACGCGGAACCCCAGRGTTTCGTGGAACACAGTTTAAGAAACACTGTTCTATACAATTCCAAAATTAAAAAATAAATACCTATATAAAATGCATTGATACTTGGCATGTTTTGTTAATGTTAAAAAAAATGCATACCTATTCTTTTTTTCTTTGTAATTCTAAGTACTACATAT